GTTAATTGCGTTAAAAATTTTAATCAGATTAATCATGATGATGGATTAATCTGCGTTAACGCGTTAATTTTGACAGCCCTAATATATATATATATATATATATATATATATATATATAAACTGGAAGGAGGGGTCTACAGTTACTAAATTTACATTTATGAATAAAGGTCAGAGGTATTTTATTTGTCACATGCAGTCATATTTCTGCAACATACAGTGTAATGTTTATTCTGACTGGTTTCCCGACTGGTAGGTGTGTGCGCAAAATGCAAGTGGTGGTGAAAAGGGAGTGAGAGAGATTAGAGGAGAGAAAGCGTGAATGTGTGTGCAGTTGCTGATTGTCCGTTATGTGCCGTTGCTGAGGAGTCTTATCGCTTGTGGATGAAAGCTTCTCTTGGAGCATTCAGTCTGGGTCTTGAGGCTACAGAGGTACTTCCCTGACTTCAGCAGTTTGAACAGTTTATGTGCAGGATAGGCAGGGCCACTAGTGATCACATATTCAGATCACCACCCGTAGCAAGCCTTTCTGTTCCTGTACAGTGCAATACCCATACCAGGCTGTCATGCTTCTTGTCAGCACGCTCTCTATAACGGCAGTGTGGTAGTGTTCTAAAATGAAAGATCTTGAATCTCCTGAGTCACCTCAAGTAGTAGAGGTGCTATCTGGCTCTGCCAGTGAGGAAGTCCGTTTGAGTGCTCCAGGTGAAGTCCTCAGTGATGTGGACACCAAGGTAAATAAAACACCGCACCCGCTCCACAGATCTGAAGCGGTGCGTAGAAGAAATAAAGGTAACACTTTACTTGACGGGGGCACAAATACTTTGTAATAAGTCAGATACTACTGAAGTACAAACCATGAACAAATCATGAACAAATATAGTCGCTACTTGGGATAAAAGACGTGTCAATTCATTAATGATGAGTAAACATGAGATCAGTATTTCATGTGTGTTATTCATTACTTGTTCCTTCAGTAGTTTACAAAGGTGTACAGAATTAAGAGATATAGCAACAAATATACAGTAACTGCTTGAGGTATAACATGCATCACGATCCATTAATGATGAAAGACTAAGACTTAGTTTATGGTTAATTAATACATAAGTAATAGTGCAATACTATATTTGTGCCCCATCAAGTAAAGTGTTACCAAAATAAAATTCATTAAAGAAAATCTGTAAAAAGACAAGAACATCTGACCAGAAATTTTCAATATCATAAATTTTCAATATATAATATATCATGCAGAAATGCCAAAGCTGGGTATGAATCAACAACCTCACAGGCACAGAGACTTATCCCACTGAGTCACATGCTGCCCCAATGTGTAATTTAAATCTCCGTGGAGTGTTGCAACCCTAATCACACAATGTTTAATCTCATCTTATTCTACAGGTACCTAAAAATATTGTTCCTGAATAAAAATTCTTGACCTTTCCCTCCCTGAATAATGTCTGCCTTAAAACACCCGCTGCTCTCTCAGTAAGCACAAGCATTGTTCCTTGCTCTATGTCCAATCTGGCATCATGCTACCCAGTTACACACATTCACAGGCTCCAAACTATCCACAATTGTTAAACAAAATCATAACAGGCACATAAGCTAGTGATGGTGAGATGATGTCTCATTGAAGAACCAAGGCTTTCATGCTAACTGTAGAATCTGCTTTAGGCCCAGTTTATGAACTAGCATAAAATAATGTCTTTGATAAAGGTGTCAGGCTGAAATTATATTGTAAAATTAGTAAAAAAAAAAAAAAAAAACAAAAAAAACTTTCATCACCACATGACAAAATTTATGTGTAAATGTACCCCTTTTATTTTCAATTGTTGGAATGAATAATGGACATTTGCATACACTGCCCACAACTTTTGGATAAGTGTAGTATGTGCATGGCAGAGAAATACAGCGTTTTATTTATTTATTTATTTTACTGAGCTATATAAACTGAAGTACCCTTAACAAGAATACTAACAAAAAGTTATGGATTACTCCAATCCACCAATTATAGAACTTTAAATGACAATAAAGTTAATGTTTTAGAAAATAATTTTGGACTTTATTTCACCCATTCATCTACAAAGCAGCACACAGATTTAACTGTTATTAAACAAGCAGCTTAGTATTCATGATTCCAACAGTAATAAAATGTGCAGAAAAAGATGAAACACCAAGATACAAATACTTAAAGTGCAGACACAAGCCTTTTATGCCCAAAAAGCCCAACATAATTAATTATCGTGCACAAAAAAACCTAATTACTAAAAAGGAATAAAACACATTCTTAACAACTTCTCTCAATATAAGTGCACTATTTATATATTAGGTCCTATTAAACTCATAGCCTCTTTATTTACACAAACATAATCTTCAAAACTTGACAAACAAGTGCTTTCGGATGCTTGACATTAATAAGATCCATAAAAAAGAGAAAATACTTAATACTTAAATTAATCTTAAGGTTTACTTTTAGAATGATAAATATGCTAAATAAAACTGATATGTAATGTACTAAAATAGATTGGACTGCAGGATATTAGATCTTACACTGGGTCTTCAAAGATCTGTTATTTTTTGTACTTTTTTATTTCAGGGACCCATCACACACTTGCATGAGTAAATGGAGATGCTTTGGTAAATACAACCAGCAGTATTAAGAATGGTTTATTGAACGGGAAACACCTCATGTGCTCATGATTAAGAGTCTTCTTATATGAAAGTTTTACATGAATAAAGAATATGCAAAACAAAAGAGAATGTTATGCAAAAATATATTTTAAAATATATTTAAACTCTTGTGTGAGGAAATTTATAGACATTCATCTATAAAATACCTTTTCTCAAAAGACAAGCATATAGATAGATTTTGATATTGTATGAGATATTGTACATTCACCATCCCCTTTTAACATAACTATTTCCTCAGTCTCCCTACCAAGACCAGAATGCATGCTCCAGCCAGAACAAAAAGAGGGATATGGTAGTTCTCTAACAGGTTGTAGGGGAAGCTGGGTCCCCCTTCTTGTGTACAATCATGGGTTGCAATGTCAGCTCTTCCAGAAGTGGGGTGGATGTCATGACGAGTGGTCAGTTTTTCCTTTGCCGGGCTTGTGGGTTGACCTGCATGATTGAGTACAGGGATCTCTTCAGTCACATATCCTTCAATTACACGCACATCCTGACTATTGAGCAGGCTCTCATAAGAGTTCTCTTCCAGCTCTGGGTGTTGCACAGTTTCACTGATCTCCGAGCGCTCAGAATGACCAGAGTATGGCTCCTCATCCACTGATTCAGCAGCTCTTTGGTTGTCAAAATAATGGGGTTGTTCAGCAGAATGGGCACGAAGTGTTCCAGGCTTGCTAAAGTACATTTCTTCAGACATGGCATCATGGTTGGAGGTGGAAGTTGCAAGATTTTCGGCTTGGTTAAGATCAGCAGAAGATGCAGTTGGCCTGGCAGTACGCTGAGCCTGACGTGCTTGACTAGGCTCCGCATGGGGATGGTTATCAATTACCTTCCAGAGATACAGCAAACCACATTACATAAAGAACACGGCAGTAATGCTCCACATGATTGGCAGATTAGGCAAACTTAGGTATTTGAAGAAGAAATAAAGTTAAATGTTTTTTTCATGAATATTAGAAATACATGGTTAAAATTAAATAAATAAGGCTTCCAGTTTGGCTTGAATCACCGTTACAGACTTTTCTTTAAAATGAATTCCTTTATTAATTATCATTTATCATTCAGATTTCATAAAATATGTTTTCCATTTCATTAACTAACTTTAGAAAAGTGAGTCTTTCTTTTCAATGTAAGTTATGTTTTACATTCAGGCATCACATACTGTCTAGGACTTGTTTAAAATTTTATCAATATACAGTGGTACCTCGGTTAACTGAAAACCAGTTCTCACTGCTTTACGTGATATTTTTTTTTAGCATTTAAACACAAAATGAACAGGATAAAACAAGAAGAGCATTTTTTTCTTAATGGCTTCCAAAACGATAAAGATCTTATCCCAACATTACCCCTGTCCTGCCCCGATCGTCTGCACCTTCCGTGTGCCACGCCCCCTCGTTAACCTCGTGTGGGTTCCCCATGTGATCAGCTGTTTCTGGTTGTTGTCATTAGTCCTCTGTATTAAGTCCGCGTTTCAGATTGTTTCCCCAGTCCGGTCATTGGGTGCATTCGACTTGCTTACAGCGCTGGCTTAAAGCAACGCATTCTGATCCTGACGCAATGCATTACGGTTAGATCCATTGCGACCTCTCACCCGGCTGCACAAACTGGAACCGCCTCTGTGATGACACACCTTTGCCCTTATTGGCTGAAAAGTTTAGTTACACGCATGACATTTGTATCCCAGGCAGTTCCGATGCGTAATCTGCTATTTCTCCCGAATATCACGTAAAGCAGTGAGAACTGGTTTTCAGTTCATTTACCTGGTAAAATAAAGTTTAAATAAATGACATAAATGCTCTAACAGTACACGTAAGTTAGTGGTTTATTTATTGATAGTTACTGTAATGTTGCGCTGCTTTATTTGGTTAATCGTCCAGCCTGTGAAGAAGGCATTCAAGTAAGAATTGCATTGTAGTATGACTAATTTCCTGGCGCATACAATTTATATTAGGTCAGCATTCACGGTTCAACTTCTGATATTCAGATCGAGTTCTAGGTCAAACTGGTTTGTTCAACTTTCAAGAAATTCGAGTTCTAGTGAGTTTGAGAACTGAGGTACCACTGTATATCTAAAAATCACACCATGTTGAGACATGAATCAAAAAAAGATCAGCAATGGGAAAGACGGGCATTGCAGACAAAAAAGCATAAATCGTAAAAAGCTGAGACATTACCTGATCATTGCTTGAACTGGAGGTCTGTACTAGTTTTGGAAATGGGTTTGAACTGGCATCTGGTGGGTTGGTATCCTGTACTGGCCTGCCAATTAGGCTCTCCTGAGGAGTAGGTGCAGATACTACAGAGGCATTCTTAAGCTCTTCTGTGACTCGAGGGTGGGCGTCATGGGGTAACGCAGACACCTGTGAGTCAGTCTCACCCGGACCACTAAGAGTATCTGTGTGATTAGGGGTGATGCCCTTATCACTGGAAGCCGCCTGAAAGGAACTGGGCAGTGGAGCTGAGTGGCCCGTCTCTGCTGGAGCTGGAACAGCTGGGACAGCTTCAGTAGTGGCATGTTCTGGAAGGTTTGAGACAGTGTGACGGCTGGCATCCACTGGAGCAGTCATAGGAACAGAAGCAGGAGTCCCACTACCTGTAGGTTAGGAAGATTTTGGAAGAGTGACACTGATTGCCAGTTCATCCATCCATTCATTTTCCATAACAGTTTATCCTATTCAGGGTTACGAGGGGTCTGGAGGCTATGGGTGCAAGGCAGGGAACAACCCAGGATGGGGCAACAACCCATCACACATGCACACACACACACACACAAACACAAACACAAACACATACACCTATGGACAATCATGGGCAATTTGGTAATTCCAGTGAACGTCAGCATGTTTTTGAACTTTGGGGGAGGACACCAGAGTACCTAGAGGAAACCCCATGATGACATGGGGAATACATGCAAACTCCATGCACCTTGCTAACCACTGCGCCACCATGCCACCCATGATGGCAAACTATATTATGAGTATTACTTAAGTCCACAATAACTAATTTTGCAGTGAGCCTGGAGCATGAGCCAAAACGATCAGGGCAGGAGGCAGAGGACAACCTGGGGAGATGCCAGTCCATGGCAGCAACACAAACAGAATCACACACTAAGGGCTATTTAAGGACCAGTGAATAACTGAAACCAAAACTTACTCCTAGTGGGCCGGACCCTGAGTGATTCATATGCCATCTCAAGCTCTGAAGCAAGTTCCCATTGTTCACAGGATCTCAGGGCCTTGATTAAATCATCAGGCCAGTTTTCACTCCGCTTTAAACAGTCCAACAGCCGCTCCATAGCGTCGTAATTGCCTCTGCTCTCTCTCTTAGCCATTATTTCATCCTTCAAAATAAGCATGCTTAATGTTATAAACTCAGAATAAATATAGCAAAGTAAAAAGTAATGAGTGTTATAATTCAACAAGGGGCAGTACAAATCTCAGTGAAACTGTAGTCTGAGTCTACTAAACTGAGTCTACTACAAAGTTCTTTCCAAAGCTAATATCCATTTCAAAAATGTATGTAAAGGAATACAAATCAGCACAATAAATTTATTAAAGCAGAGTAAAAGTATGAACTGAGACTCACCCGATCAGACTGAGTAAGGCAGGGGAGATGAACCATGATTTCCGTTGATTTCACTATTGTCACAAACCTTGCCAAGTTGCGGCGTATGTAACCTTTGTACAATTCATCGCTTGGAAAAGGCATTTTTTAGCCAAATGAATAAAAGCTGTAGGTGACAAATATCATGAAAGATATTCAAAATTATTACAGTGGAGACTCAATGGTTGATTTTAAGAGGATTAAGGATGACTTGTACTGCATTATTAAGTTATATATAGTGCAATAGAGCATTATAGAGCTTCATAAAGCACACATAATGCATAATAAACATAGTTATACTGTGTTATGCCTTTTTTATAAGTATTTATAGTAATTTATAATGTTTCATGAATGCATTATAATGTGTTATGAATGTTTTCAGAGATTTTTATATACATGGCATTCATAGAAAGTGTTACCAAAAAACTTTATACCACAAATATCTTTTGTATAATGCAAAACATTCTTAGTAGACCTGCATGATATGCAATGTTAAGACGTCACACGTCATGCACATGCAGTTGTCACGTTGCAAGAGCCACGATAATCAGATGGGTTGTAAATAGGCTTGGGCGGTACCTAATTTTTCATACAGTTATACCATCCGGACATTATATCACAATATGCAGTCTTTTGGTGATATTTTCAAAAGCAATGCTATTTCATTATTTTGAGATCTTGGCTATAAAATTTGCTGAAGTAGTGAGATTTGTCAAATGGGAATAAGTTTTGTTAAAAGATGTTTACTTTGTCACAGGAAAGCTTTTTAATGATTATTCCTTTTCAAGATTATCTAATACAGTGGTACCTCAGTTCTCGAACTCATTAGAACTTGAAGTTCTTAAAAGTTGAACCAACTAGTTCGGAAAAAAATTACCTAGTACTCGATCTGAATCTCAGAAGTCAAACCGTGAACGCCAACCTAAGATAACTTGTACACACGGGGAAATGAGTCACGCGGCACGTCTCTCAGTGGAAACAAAAGGTAATGCTTCAGTCTCAGCCTCACATTCGCTGTGATGGCATTGTGCATGTTTACACAAGCTGAATACATACATTTAGACAGTAAAAATACATTTAGACAATGATAGACAGTAACAGTAAATTATTATATAATAAAATACATTTTAAAATAAATATTTCTTATTAATTATTTTAATATTAATAATAAACCATTAATACATTTTATTATAATAATATTCTTGTGCCGAGTGGGGACGGAAGGGAGACAAAAGCGCAGATGTCAGGGTATTGGGGAATACCCGGTTTAATTACAGGTAAGGCAGGCAAAACGCAGACGGACAATACAATGACCGGACTGGGGAAACAAACTAAAATGCGGACTAAATACAGAGGACTAATGACAACAACCAGAAACAGCTGATGACACGGGGATTCCACACGGGGTTAACGAGGGGGCGTGGCACACAGAAGGAGCAGACGATCAGAGCAGGACACGTTTTTTTTTTTACTTTACACATTGGATACATTTATTTTCTTACTTTACAGATCACTGTTTTGATAAACGGGCTTAGATATGTTTAGTACAGTATATGCTCTTGTTTTATCCGGTTCATTTTGTGTTTAAATGCTAAAAAAAACATATTTAGGTGTAATGTTTTGGGGCCGGGAACCAATTAATTGGTTTTCCGTTATTTCTTATGGGGAAAATTCGATCAGAACCCGAACTTTTTAGGATTCAATCCGGAGTTCTGAACGGATTAAGTTCGCGTTCCGAGGTACCACTGTACAGTATATGTTAAAAAAAGAAATCAGTGTAATGGTTACCGCTGCAACCCAGTTTACTTCATGACCACGTACACGTAATAGCATGCTGTGTGCAACAATCAGCCAATCACCTAAGGATGGATCGCAATAGGGCAGGGGTGCCCAACTCCAGTCCTGGAGGGCCGGGGCCCTGTGTAGCTTAGTTCTTTCCCTGTTCCACCATAAATGATTCAGCTCAAGAGCTGTGTGGTAATTGGCACAAGGAGTTGAATCAGGTGTGTTAAATAGCCTGGTGGAAAACCAACAAAATAACTAAATCAACCCTGACACCTTCTAACTCACCCCCATATGGCACAACCCTGACTTCCTACTACATAAGACCCCAATTCACTTTTCCAAATGGGAATCTAAAGGTATCACCCACCTCCATCACCTATTTGAAAATAACCAATTCCTACTAATTGTCCAGAAATATGGGATTGGAAAAGACCAGTTCCTTCATTACCAACAACTGAAAGCAATAATTAAAAGCAAAATTAATAAAAACAACACACTCCAACCCACAAATACTATTGAACAGTTATTAAGAATTGCAGTTCATCCAAAAAACAACTCTACAAAATGATTGCCTCCTCAACCTCGTCCATAACACTCCCAATAGCAAAATGGGAAAATGACCTGGCGTTCCCTACAACCCCAGATTTCTGGACAAATATCTGCAAAAATATATTCTCCATGACCTCTAACACTAACCTGCAACTTATACAATATAAAACCATACATAGGACTCACATCACTCAAGGTAAACTATTTAAAATGGGATTAGCCAACACAGACATCTGTCCACACTGTACCTCGGTGAGCACTGACACATATTTGCATGCTACTTGGACTTGTCAGTCAGTCAACCATTTATGGACTTCAGTCATAAAGACACTTGTGTCGCTAGATAAGATTTTAACAACTCTGAGCTATTAGTTAAGTTCGCCGGTCCAACTTCATGAACACGGGATCAGAGGCAGAGGTTCTCGGCTCTTCACTGTGATGGCATTGAGAGCCCGGAAATTGATACACCAGTGTAGGCCTCCGTTTTGACTTGGCCACTAGCACACCTCATACAGCTAGTCAGTCAATCTGTCACTGACTTTTTAAACCAATTTATTTAATTATTTAATTGAGCTGTTGGTCAAATTTAACAAAATCATGGAATAGCTGAGGTGCCCCTGAGGAGAAGATTAGGAACTGAAGCAGTGTTCATCTAGCTATCCAACTAGATATCAGTAACTTTTTAGAAAACAGAAGAAATTATTACTAGTTTTTATTGTGTTACTCTTAATTTCAGCCAAGCTTTAGCTGTCAGATAGATGACCTCACATTTGACTCTACAATACTTTGGTATACTATACAGGAATTCATGGTCGACTCAATGACTGCAAGGTGCCCAGGTCCTGTGGAGCGCGAGCGAAGAAGCGGAGCGGGTGGAATTTGGTCAGAGCGCAGAGCGGTTTTCTAATCAAGGCTGGAGCGGTCGCTCCGTCTCGCTCCAATTTCCATCCGATACCGCTCACACTACGATTCTGAGGCGTGCCCAAATCTACCCAGAATTCATCTGTACAATTATCAAGACTGTTACACAGGTTGGCCGAGATGGAATCCGCAAAGTATTTCACAAAGGAAACTGATAAATCATACAAGTGTACTATTCTTATCAAACGTATAGATGACAATAATGTAGAGCAAGAACAACAATGTGGTGAAACTGTTTCAGTGAGTAAAGATTCACTTTGGAATCACTTTTCTCAGAAACATGAGAGTGTGCTACGCGAACAGGCGGAAGCCGGAGCAAAACGTGAGTAAGTTTTATATGGTTGTAGTATATCAAGTCTATAAAGTAAATTAAAGTATAAAAGCCTATAAAGTAAATATTTGTAATCAAATAAATTCGTTTTGTCATTCAAAGTAGGTCTAATAGGCTTTTTTAAATTTCACGTAACACTAAAATTTTATTTTATAGAGAGATGCAGCAGCATCAAAAGAAACAAATTGAGGAATTTAAAACGTAGATGCTTAGCTTGTATATTCTTTAGGCTATTAAGCCCACTGATTCCTTTATTTTTAAGCCTATTTTTGTGTGGAATGCCATTGCCAAACCTGTCCGTTGTTGCCTATATGTTGCTTAAAAATAAATACTTTCTGAGTGGCAATGTTGCCGTTGCTCATATTTCTTTATTTATTTGTCCCTCTTTTAAATTGGAGCGAGCGTGGAGCGATTTAACTGGAGCGGGAGGAAATTTTAGTGGAGCGAGGAGCGGTGTTGAGCGGAGCGGCTTAGTGCGAATTACAGCGGAGGAGCGGGCGGAGCCAACGGAGCCAACAGCCTCGTGAGCGAGGAGTGGAAATTCTCACCGCTCCACTCCGCTCACATGCTCCGATTTGGACAGTTGAATACTAATTGGCAAAATTCCAAAAAGATCTATAAGAAGACATGAATTGAGGGTTATTTGCAACAAAGGGGTGGTGAATACAGAGATCCAGTATATGTGCAAAGATGGACATGTCCAAAACATATGAAACAGCTTGCCATATTGTCATCATGAACTGGGTCAGTATTAGGATAGATACGAGCTAATCTAGACTTAGTCCAGTAGACGCAATAACCATGTCTAACACATATACTGTATATAGGTCCTACTTTTTGCTAAGATTTTTTTAACTCTTAAGTCAAAGTGTACTACCATTCTTAGGAAGTTTTATGCGTACCGGCCCTGGTCTCAGAGAGGTGTAGTCACTATTATAGATCTAGTTGTTTTTGCTTCTAACATTTAGCTGTTTAATCTTCCGGGCTCCCAATTTTTCAGATATTTTCAGGTAAGGAACATTTATAGTAAAGTATGTAATAGTTTTCCAACTATTCCAGCAGACACGCCTGTCAACAACACTGTAAAAGAATTTCTGTATATTTTACAGTAAATTATAGAGTAGAGTTAAAAAAATCTTAGCAAAAAGTAGGACCTAAGAGCATTGTATAAAGCTGCTAAAAGTAACTTTCAGCAAAGTCTAAGCCCAATTCTTAAGTGCTGATGGAGCCAGCATTTAACTGTCGTGAAATGAGGACTATAAATAAAATCCCGCCCCAAATACTGAGTTCAACCAATAGAAGAGCTGCACGGTGAATATATTAGTGACATTAAACCATTAATGTAGAGCATTATACAACATACCTTTTTGTGATCATACCTTTAATTGGTTGTATGAAAATCTACCTAGCACATCACCGATCAATTTCCACTAATAGATGCACATGTTATATAAATTATGGGTCAAACGCAAAACTCATAGCAAGACACTGAATTCTAAAAGAACACCAAACTGGACGACAAACGAAACAGTTCTTTTGGCACAGTACTGTAGATGTTTAAATGGAAAGTTTGGCCCAGCTGTTATAAGCACAGACAAAAAAAAAAAGCTTAGGAGGCTATTGCAAGCTCCGTAAATGCTGCGTCACCTCGGACAAGGCGTTCAGCAGAGGAATGTGAAAAAAGGTGGTATAATGTTTTATCGACCTCGCGAAAGGAAATCACAGTTTAAAAAGCAAGCATGCAAGCTACAGGTTTGTGTCATTACATATATTGCTCTTATGACCCTCGCTATGATTGATGATTGATGATGATGATTGATATTATTATTATTATTATATATTTTTCCAGTTGGCAAAAACTTAGCATCATTATCACCTTCAGTTCAACTGTAAGTGCATTTTTAGGTGACGTAGGAGATTGTATCCGGTTAGGTTGATAACAAAAAGAAAGCCCTCATGATCGAGCCTGTACCTTTTTATCAATTCATTATTGTCGTACGTCTGCAGGACGTCCTTTCTTTGACGGAAAGTGCACGGTCTCCGTCTGGGTGCACGTAGTGCAGCTGCATTCATTCAACTCCTAACTGGCTTAGGAGTCCTCTCCAGCTATTTTAAATAATTTAGGAGCTGAGACCAAGTCTTAACACTTAAGAATAAGAGGCATGCATAAACATTTTTAAGTCTGGGAGTAGGAGCAAAATCACGTCACTCTGAGAATTGTGACGCATTTAAGAGTGAAATTTTACTCTGAGAAGTTTTATGCATAACGGCCCAGATTCCAAACGTATCAATACACAGTGAAGGAGGGAAGAAAAGGTTTTTACAAAGCGCCATTGACAGTGGTAAAATTTGGATTCCAAAATGTTTATGGAATTGTGTCCAAATCCATAATTTGGCCTTCACCACAATATTTTTGCAGATCCTGAATATACTGAAGACAGGTAAAGCCGCAAGTGAAGCTGGAGCACAAGAATAAGATTCCATTAAACACCAGGCTGGCAAATTGGCGTGATCAACCTGAATCCACAGAGAACTGACCCCAGATTAGCTGCCCAGTAATAATATCAGAGACTAGGCAGTGCCATTCCGCCAAGAGATTCTGACTTCTGCAACACCTCTTTGTGTAAGTGTGGAACTTTCTTTTTCCAGGTAAACTCAGAAACCAAGGTGTCACTTTCATAAAGGAGAACTTGGGGAAAAAAATATGGATACACTGAAAAAGATAAAGAAATTTGGGAAAGAAGGATGTTCATTTTAATTGAGTTAATTCGGCATGCTAAAGATATAGGTAAAACATTGAAGATCTTCTCTAATGCTTGTAAGTAGTGAGTCAAAATTTCATTTAAACAGTTTATTAAATGTATCACTAACAGTCACTCCTAGGTATTCAATATCACTATTAGTAACCTTTTAAATGGCAATGAAGACAACTAAAATGCCACTTCATTTAATGGGAAGACTTCACTCTTATCCAAGTTTAGCTTAAAGCTAGAAATTTTCCTAAACTTCTCCAATACTGTAAGAATGTGTGGTATTGAAATGGCTAACAGCTGAATTGCAATTGCAAATAAAAAGGGAGAAAGGCCCCTAAAAAGAGGGGATGAGACTGGAGAAGAGTAAAAAGTTGTGTCCAAACTAGAGCTGTGCAATTAATCGAATTTGAATCACGATTTGTAATGTAAAAATCAGATTTGATTTGATTTTGATTACAATATTGGCTTCCCACGATTCTGAAAAAATGATAAATGAGAAAAACTATTTTTGTTTGTATCTTATATTGAAATGATGTCCTACTTTATCTTGCGCAATAAATCCAGATCGGCGCACTAATTGTTCAGTGGTATGCGTTGCGCGTCCCTAAACGCTGTCAGCAAATTCCCTATAGCACAGCAATTAAAACTCGTTCACCATCAAAATGGCAGGGCGGCTACCTTTGGTCAACCAAAGAGATAAATGCACATCAGTTATTTAGAATCATTTTGGTTTCAATTAATTGGACCAGGAGCAACAGCAAATAATTTGCAGAATATGTTTCAAAGCTGTGTCTGCACCACAAGGCAACATGACCAATTTATTTAACCACTTAAAGCTTAATTATAGAGTGATCTATGACCATTATGAAAAAGGTCACATTTTACTTTTAATGTAAAAAGCAAGTTCCCTAAAAAGTAGAAAATAAATAGTTTGCATTTCTTGCAAACAAAATAAACTGTTTATAGTGATCACCTCTGTCTGAGTGAAATTGATCATTATAATCAGATGATCATTATAAATGATTTTTTTCCCTTTTTCTTTAGGTCTCAGGCAGATTACCATCTAGTCAGAATTTGTATATTTATTACACAAATATAAGGTAATAAAATGGACAGCATTGCTATTTACTTAATTTTACTGACTCTTTCAAAATACAGTACAGCTATTTCACATGCTTTTCAAATTACAGTACTGCACAAATTAAATTGCTGTAGGATCACACATGCACATATGACAGGAGTGAGATTACAGGTTGCCTGAGACAAGGCCTAGCTTGGTACAAGAGGTACTCCTTGGCCTAAGCACCAAAGGGGGGTTAGTGACCCCCACACACACACACACACACAAACAAACACACACAGATAACAAGGGAGGCCAGGATTCCAACTTTATGGGCCAAAGATTTAGGGACCTACAGACAGCAGAGTGGACCTAATGGACAGGGGTCCCTCGACTTGGCACACAACCCCCTCCACATACACTCTGCCTTACATATCACTCACCCAACAGACGAACACCCTAAAGGAAGTTTCATTTAAGTTTGGCTTTTGTATACCATGTATATTCCTTTACTCATGATT